CCCCCCCCCCCCGTCTTTCCCTTCCCAGAGGAGTGGGGGGAGCCCTCAGCCAATCAGGGGAAGGCTTTCTCTCTCTCTTTTGAAGCAGGAAATAGGAGAGACTGGCCAAAAGGAGCTGTGCTGTTGCTGACTCTGAGAGGTAGCTGACTCACACCTGCCTCCTATGAAGACGAACCAGGTGAAGAACAACAGGAACATCTATTGAGTGATCATCAATCTAAAAGGGAGAAACCTAGGAGATGCCATTGTTCTGATCATCCAGCCTTAGCCAGATGTCTTTCTTCTAAACACTGTTTAAATCTAAAGTGTCTCTAGGAATTCTGTCAAATCTGCATGTGGTTAAGAATCTTCAAGCAACTCTTTTGTTGTTGTTCAGTCGCACAGTCGAGTCCAACTCTTCGCAATCCCATGGACCAGATCACGCCAGGCCTTCCTGTCTTCCGCCGTCCTCTGAAGTTTGCTCAATTTCATGTTCGTTGCATCTATGACACTGTCTAACCATCTCATCCTTTGCTGTCCCCATCTTCTTTGACCTTTAATCTTTCCCAGCAACGGGAAAGATTGAAGCAACTCTTTGCTTCATCTTAAAATACTTAGCTGTGGGTTGCACTTTATCTAACCATGTCTTTATATCTTTATTAGCAAATGAAACATTTGTAGAACGATTATACATTATTAAGTAAATGTATGTTTAAACCTTCAACTTAGTTTGTGGACTTTTGCAGAGAGTCTCGTATTTCCACTGGATAAAAGGAACACTTAAGAATCTAAATGGGAATTTTCCCATTCCTTTAGGAGAATTTTATTCTGTCTGTCTGACCCTGTTCTTCCTTGGTCAGGTTCTCCTTTCTACCCTCTCCGCCACTGGCATCTAGCCTACAGCACCCAATATTCCCAGGCGGTCTCCCATCCAAGTACTAACCAGGACTGACACTGCTTAGCTTCCAGGATCAGACGAGATCGGGCGTGTTCAGGCTCAATTAGAAGAATATCCTGATGGCCTAAAGATCCTTACTCTTCTTGATAATC